CACACACACACACAGAGAGAGAGAGAGAGAGAGAGAGAGAGAGAGACCAGTGTCAGCATGTTCCCAGAGATGTAACCATGTCCGTGGTAAGTGACCAATGCCACAAAGACCTGCATGCGCTGCGCAGTCGCCACAGCTACTGTTTACAAGCATTTCATTCTCCTAGGACCAGTATTGCTCATTCATAACCATTATCATCCTAAATAAAACACATAAACATACAAATATGACTTTGATATACAAATGTGGTGTATAAGATGCTTAGTTTCAGAGAAAAATTCAAGTTAATTATAAGTATATAATTATTAATTATATACTGTATTAACAGCTCTATATTTATTTATTTTTAATTTAATGTATAATATAAATGAAAATAATTTAGGTATATTATAAATATATTAAATATAAATATAATATACCTTTTATTTATATGAATATGAATTGAATTCATATACACATCTGGGATCGTAAATGCATCTTTATACTCTTCTTAAGTTTACATTTTGTTTTTCCTTTTATTCAATGCTAACAATATGACAGTATAAGGAGAAAAGATTTCCTGCATGTGCCTGCATGTGTAAAATGCTGCTTCTGTCAAAAATAATATTTTTAAGAAAATAATGTACAAGTCTCGTGAGCTAAAAAAGGGCAAACTCTGAGCAATAAATCTGCAATAAATCTTCCTTTAGGAGTATTAGGAAATATACACGCCAGATCCAAACCTGCATTCCCTACAAATTTGCAAGCACATGCATTACCGTACCAATGAGCCATGACTTCAACCATGTGTAGGATGAGGCATGGGTAGGATTTTGTGATTGATGGGTTTCAGATTCTGGTGAAATGCGCAGGCGTTTCTGCACATGCGGCTGCCATGTGGATCATCACAAAATGTGTTTTCTTGACTGTGAGGCGCTTGTGCAGAAGCTCTGGTGTGATGATTAACAGTCGGCCCATGCGACATCAGACGACTGCAGAGACTGTGCTGTCTGATAAGCCCAGAGCAAACAAACACACAAAACAGGTTGCTGCAGCTCTGCAGCAGGACTGAACGCACAAGCCTTTGGGTCATAGGGACATTTTACGTAGAAACATCTATTAACAGTATTTAAATGCGCTTACGATCCTCATGACCCAAACGTATTTAAATTACTTTGTCTACCCAAAAATGAAAATTCTGTCATCATTCTTTCTTCTGTGGAAGACAAAAGAAGATATTTTGAAGAGCATTTCGGCTCCCATTGACTTCCATATTATGGACAAAAAATAATATGGAAGTCAACAGGACCCAGAACGGTTTGATTACCAGCTTTCTTCAAAATATCTTCTTTTGTCTTCCACAGAAGAAAGAAACTCATACAGGTCTGGAATGACAAAGTAAGTGAGTAAATGATGACACAATCTTCATTTTTTGGGGGGTGGATTGTCCTTCAGGGAATGATGTGTGATTTTTGCTGTGAAATTCGTTCATGCCGGAACTCGATGATTCATGCTCTCATCAGTTCTGAGGGAATCGCAGGTATGGTCGCAGATAATTTAAATAGCACATGGAAAGAGATGCTAGACTGATATTTCTCACATGATGAGAAAAATGGTGGTGCCCTTCAGCTGGTGGCGCCCTAGGCGACCGCCTAGCTCGCCTATGCCTAGAAACGGCCCTGACCCTAAGGTCTATAATGTAGAAAACCAGTTGTCTGTGTGATTTACACTGTTAAGTGGCATTCCAGAGAGCATCTAATAACACAACAAATTTTATTATCTAGAATAAAAGTTGGACTGAAACTACCTGAGAACTTGTTGCAGTTCTATTTGTGAAATGTCTTAGTCATTGATGCAAGCTGTTAAACAATGAGCATGAAACATATCAGAGTATCAAGTGAAAATGAGACTATCCATATCTCACCTTGACTCTCAACTGACTGGTGACGTTTCGTCCAAGCCCAGCTTTGAACAGTTACATTAGAGGTCAGAACAAATCTGAAACAGTGTGAAGTTTTCCTGTTTGCTCTCTGGTTTCATTCCTGAGGATTTCCCCACTGCCTCAGACCGTTTCTACAGCACCTGCCATGACCCATTTGACCGCAGAACAAGAAGTACTTTTGTCTGAGTGGGGGTTTGTATGAGACAGAGCTTCTTCATGGTACACTGCTCTCTCTCTCTCTTACTCAAGATGGTCATACCTGGATGATTCAAGTTTTGCAGCCAAATTAAAATATCACGACGGCCTTTAGCTCACGGCACTAAAATGGCCTCTACAATTAAACGCATCCACTATGAAGGACTGTTTTGGTCCAGAACATTCTTTTAAAATGTTAAACTGCCATGACCCATTTGACCGCAGAACAAGAAGTACTTTTGTCTGAGTGGGGGTTTGTATGAGACAGAGCTTCTTCATGGTACACTGCTCTCTCTCTCTCTTACTCAAGATGGTCATACCTGGATGATTCAAGTTTTGCAGCCAAATTAAAATATCACGACGGCCTTTAGCTCACGGCACTAAAATGGCCTCTACAATTAAACGCATCCACTATGAAGGACTGTTTTGGTCCAGAACATTCTTTTAAAATGCTAAACTGCTAATCTACATCAAGCAAGCAGCATTTATTAAAAAACTGAATTAAAAAAAATACAAGAAAAAATGTTATACTGTACATACATAATGCATAATCCACAAAGGCCTTAAAAAGTTCTTAAATCAGAGCATAACGTTTTAAACAGTAAAGGTTATTTTCATATCCTAGGTTTTTTTTTTTTTTTTTGCAAAGTTTTAAAACTAAAACTATTCAAATAAAGGTTCTGCATTCGCGCTCTGAAGTCCCGATCTGAAATGATGGTTCGCGAATCATTATTCAGATCGGGACTTCGGAGCGCAGATCATGAATCATTTTATTCAGATCGGAACTTCGATTCACGAATCATTTGATTCAGATCGGAACTTCGGAGTGGGTTCATGAATCTTTTGATTCAGATCGGAACTTCGGAGCACAGAGCGAATCGTTTTTAATTAAACAGTACAAAACATCAAATCATTAAGGCAGTAGGAAAATAGGGAAATTGGTCTAACCATGGTTTCGTTACAGTAAAAGTGTAGTAACCATGTTTTTTTGTATAACCACAGTTTTACTACAAATACCATGGTTAAACTAAAATTTGTTTAAAGTTCATTTGTGGCTATGGTTTAACTATAGTAACCTTTTTTTGTAGTAAAACCATGGGTAATTTTCGTAAGGGATGCGTTGCCATGTTAACCAAAAAAAAAAGTAATACATTTACACCTTAAGAGGACACAAATAGATGCAGTTTTCACTGTTTTAGCATTAACAGAGCTTTGGATAGTTTCCATATACTTGTCTAGATCAACTTTGGATCCAGATTTTTATATGTGAAATTCAGCTAGCAGGAAACAAATTAATGAATTTATATTTTCCTATATTATATTTTGGGTACGCGAACAATCCAAAGAAAACATATTTAAAACAGAAAGAAAAGTCAAGAGTTGAATTACTGAAATAAATGAACTTTTCCACGACATTCTAATTTATTGAGATGCACCTGTACATCAAGCAAGCAGCATGTATGAAAAAACTGAATGAAAAAAAAATGCAAGAAAAAAAATGTATGTTATACTATACATACAGTACATAATGCATAATCCACAAAGGCCTTACAAAGTTCTTAAATCATAGCATTAAGTTTTAAACAGTAAAGGTTATTTTCATATTCTAGTTAAGTTTTTTTTTTTTTTTTTTTTTCAATGGAGAGCTGTTGGCTAAAACTAAAACCATTAAAAAAAAACTTTATTAAAATAAAGGTTCAGCTTTCCAAGAGTTCCCAACCTTGGGAACCTATTCCTGATTTCTTATCCATTTAGCCAATGACATAGAATTTGTCCCTACCATGTCCCTGCCAATAACCAGCGACTACTAAATTGTCCTTAACAATAATTTTGATCAAACAATTACATATGTATATGTAACCACTGTTGTTGTAATTTCGGCCATATATAGGTAATACCATTTATATCAACAAAGAAGTTATAAAGTATATTGCTAACTTTATGTTGTTGCACTGTTTTGTGTTCAACTGCTTCTCCCATTTGCTCTTTTCACATTGACTATCACTAGACTAATAAAATAAGATACAACGATTTCTCAAATATTTATAACAATATATACTGATAAACTGAACATTCACTTCAATGTATGAGGTGACTGGATGCTTTCAACTGATTTCCTCTTGAACGGTCACCAACTGAATTGCAGGGGTCAAACTATTCAAAATATAGTGAATTAAGCTACAAACTAATGCACAGTTGTTTCCATCTAACATGTATTCTGAGGTGCAGTTCCTCATATTTTTTGTGTTTTCCCTAGTTAGCATGAAAACCTGATACTTCACCTGAATATGTTCGTAATTTTGTGTTGGATGTTATCTTTGGAATGGGAATATTAATATTTTATTTGTAAACATCATACTTTTCTCGCTTATTTCAGTTAATGTCATAAAATTAGCGAGCTAAGCCAGCAGTACACTGAAAAAAATTATACTAAATTTTTTTTAAGGTAAGTGGTTGCAAACAATTTATTTTAGCTACATTTAAATAAACAAATTTAGTTGCAAGTTAGTCAACTAAATTTGTTTATTTAAATAATTAAACTATAATATATATAGTGATGGGTGAAATAACTCTAAATCAGTTAAACCATTGTGTCGCAAAATGATTTAGTGATATGAAGCGCTCCAATCGTATTGCTAATCATTTGATTTAGGGACTTCGGAGCGGGTTCGTGAATCATTTGATTTAGATCGGAACTTCGGAGTGGGTTTTCTAATCATTTCGCATTCGCACTCTGAAGTCCCGATCTGAAATGATGGTTTGCGAATCATTATTCAGATCGGGACTTCGGAGCGCAGATCATGAATCATTTGATTCAGATCGGAACTTCGATTCACGAATCATTTGATTCAGATCGGAACTTCGGAGTGTGGAGCGCAAACCATTTGAATAAGATCCGAACTTCGGAGCGGGGTTCATGAATCTTTTTATTCAGATCGGAACTTCGGAGCACAGAGCGCGAATCTTTTTTAATTAAACAGTACAAAACATCAAATCATAAGGCAGTAGGAAAATAGGGAAATTAGTCTAACCATGGTTTCGTTACAGTAAAAGTGTAGTAACCATGTTTTTTGTATAACCACAGTTTTACTACAAATACCATGGTTAAACTAAAATGGTTGGTTTAGCAAAACCATAGTTCATTTGTGGCTATGGTTTAACTATAGTAACTTTTTTTTGTAGTAAAACCATGGTTAATTCTCGTAAGGGATGCGTTGCCAGGTTAACCAATAAAAAAGTAATACATTTACACCTTAAGAGGACACATATAGATGCAGTTTTCACTGTTTTAGCATTAACAGAGCTTTGGATAGTTTCCATATTCTTGTCTAGATCACCTTTGGATCCAGATTTTTATATGTGAAATTCAGCTAGCAGGAAACAAATTAATTAATTTATATTTTCCTATATTATATTTTGGGTACGCGAACAATCCAAAGAAAACATATTTAAAACAGAAAGAAAAGTCAAAATGAGATTGAATGAACATATAAAAAAATCTGACCAAAATTACTCTGTGTGGTACAATGCCAAACAAGTGAATGACAACTTCCTCAGATGAGTAACAAAAACAGCAACTCATTAGTTATGTCCATCCAAGTTTTTGTCCATCCATTCTGTTGTTTGCCCTCTTTATATTTAAGGAGAGAACTTTAGTTTCCAAAGTTGGACATCGTTTGTTATGATTTAGAATGTTATGTTTGTTATGATTTAGAATGTTATGTTTATGTTATGTTTGTTATGATTTAGGCTGTAGAAATCAGTAGAGTCCCTACCAATATCCAGCAACTACTAAATTGTCCCTAGCAATAATTTTGATCAAACAATGAAATGTCTGTTGTATGTCGTTATGTCCCCACCTATGCCAAAATCATACCTGCACCCTTGCATTTAGCTTTTCTGTGCAGGTAAACAGCTGTATGGCACATCACGTCATGTCATGTCTTGACACCTTTTGGCCTTTTGTCAAAGTAATACACAGATTCAGACTGACCAAAACAAATCGAGTACATGACCCATCACTGTTAATCTTTAACATGGCACTCGTCTGATGTCAAAAGGGAGAGAAATAGCTCAGTACTCACCGATCTTCTTCTCTGGCATCTTTATCCAAAACAGAAAACTGAAAAATAAGCTTGGAACAGATTCCAATGACTCCTCCTTAAAACCTTGATTTGTTGCTTCTTCACACCTGAAAATGTTGAGGAAAATACGTATAAAAAGTAGTCCGACCGCTGTCATGGACAAAGATGGGTTAAGCAAGTTAAATAAACCAAAGGGCAAACTGAGAAAAAAATCAGAGGGATACAGTCTGTGTTGTTATTAACAATCACTGTAAAAATATTTTCAACTTAATAGGAACACAAACTAATTTTGTTGCCCTAAATTTAATTTGTGCATTCATTTATGTCCTTGATACTAACTTTTACATTTTTTAAAATTAATAATTAAATTCAAACTGGTTGAAGCATAATGAATTTATTACTGTGATTTGTAACTTTAAATTTGGTTTAATGTCTTTACAATTAAACACTTTTAGAGAACTTAAAGGTGTCTAGTGTTCTGTAACTTGTGTTCAGCTACATATTGACTTTTTTTTGTTTCCAAATTCTCACATTTATTTTTTTTATTATTAAATGTAAGTTAAAAGTGAAAAAAGTTACATCCAGTAAAAAAGGAAAAATCCAATATAACGAATTCTGTCCTGATTGCCCGTTACATAAGGTGAAAAATATCTGAAAAAATAAATGATCTCATAAGTAATTGAAGGTATCATTATTGGATAGAAATTATCATAATGGGAAGATATAAAAGATTAATGTCTAATTCGTTTACTTCCAGTTTCATCAATGCTCTTAATAGTAAAAACCTAAGTTCTCACCTTTACCTCTCCACTGCAGGTTCTTGGATCAACTCTTGAATAAGAAACAAAGAGGTGAAGAAGTAAATCAGTGGTTTCTTCAAGATATTCGCGCTGACATTCCCTTTTCCCGGAGTCCTTCACTCTTTTATTGTGTGTTAAATGAAGCTATTCTCCGGCAGGCAGGACAGCTCTTCTCCTCACTTCACTCTCTCTGCTCTTTCTGCGCTGTTCGCTGGAGTGGAAACCTCCCTCTTCCGGTCAGCAGCGAGTCTCAGGAGAGCGCAGGTGGACAGGTGAATCTGTGAGCACGCCACCGCCCTTCAGCAGAAGCTCATCTGATGAAGCACTCGTGAGCAAGACGACTGCGAGATACATGATGCCTTGTATGGTTTTTATAGATTTATAAATCTATAAAAACCATACAATCAATAAAATAGCGATTATTCATATTATAACATTCTCAAAATCTTATTAACAGTTAATAATATTGATAATATACCATTCATTATTATGAATAATGACTTCATTATGACTTAATAAAAAAGCATAAACATATGGTCTACCCAATTTATTATTTTTCAACAACAATGATAATAATTATTATTAAAAGCAGTTGTTATTAGTAATGTCATATTAAATATAAAATAATTAGTATTTAACATTACTTATTAAATAATATAATTTTTTTTAAATATTAGTAATAGATTGATGACTTAATAAAAAAGCATAAACATATGGTCTACCCAATTTATTATTTTTCAACAACAATGATAATAATTATTATTAAAAGCAGTTGTTATTAGTAATGTCATATTAAATATAAAATAATTAGTATTTAACATTACTTATTAAATAATATATTTTTTTTTAAATATTAGTAATAGATTGTTGTTTATAAAATAACAAAACATGGGAATTATGTAGTAAAACTACATATATTTTTATTTTATATAAAAAAATATATAAATGGGAACATAATTTTATTTAATATAATACACGTAAAATAATATTATTATTATGCTCTTTGGTTGTTTAGATTGGTCATAAATATTATAATCCATGTGTCACACCCCATTGGACTTTTGTTCTGTTTTCATCCCTCATGTGCTCTGTGTGACCTAGTTTCTTTCCTCCGGTTTCACAAACGCTTCGTAAACATCAGATTTGATAGTTAAAAATGTGTATGTTAATGAATTCCAATCATTCGTAAATGAAGCGAGCGTGCACGCTCATTCTCAATTACCATAATCCCCGCCCATGAATTCCGACTGACAACTATATATGGGCATCATATTATGAAACGAAAATAAGGATTTCAACATGTCCTCTTAAAAGCAAATGAAAAATAAAAAATTTCTCAGACACAGAAATGCAAGTTGTGTTATTGGAAGTGCATTCAAAACGCAGCATTTTATTTTCAAGCGTACATAGTGGAGTATCAGGTCCTAAAAAAGGAAGCGTGGCAGCACATTACAGATGCTGTTAATGCAGTTTAATCTGTTATTCAACCAGTCATCGTTCTTTGCAAGTAAGTCTGAACGGTCTCAAAAAATACGTCTTTTGCGCAGCGCTCTGTCTGCCTAATCTAGCAATAGCGCTAACGTTATATCAGCCAGTAAGTGTTTATTGTTATGCCTCATTCTGGCCATTTTATAGAAAACCATTTCCGTAATAATTAGACTAATTGGTAGCCTACATCCCTAACAAATAATTAATTATTTGATAAAAGTGTTACATTTGCAGATTATTACTGCTGTTCATAATAGTAAAAAGGAAAGCACAGTAGCCTATACTGTATATAATTACTGTAACGTTATATTATTTTATCAAAATGCTGCGCGATACATACGTGATCATATAAGGTAAATAGTTTCATAAATATGCAGCCCCATCAATGAGCAAAACGTTCAGATGATTTAACTTACAACCCATTTACGCGGGGCTGGGAGCAGGTGTAAATTTTGTGTGTACCAACTAACATTTGTAAAATACGAACACTTTCATGAATCCCAAAATTTACGTCAGAACAACTTTAGGAACGATTTACACATAAATTCGTTCTGCTCGTGTTTCATGAATGAGGCCCATTGTTTCTTGTCCCCTCACATTGTCAGTTACGAATCACATGAATCACATAATTCAAAATAACGAAATTAGACAATTTATTAGTTTGCATCCCTGATTATTTTTCAGTGGTTTAACATTTCTATCATAAAACAGCAGTCAGATATGAAATGTTTGGCTACTTACATCTTATCCCACACTTTATAGCCGCTAACTGAAGCGTTGCGTTGAAATTCGCGCTAAGCAGCTTCTGTGAACATAAAGCCCGCCTACTTTGATTTGATTGGTCATATCAAATATTTTGACCGTAAGGCAGCTCAAATGAGGAGGCTTAAGTTTAATCTTGGTGTTGTGCAATCTTTGCAGCAGGAAGGAAGAGTTAATACTATATTAGGCAATTATTTCACAAAGTACACCAGCTCGCTGTTTTAACAGCTTTCGACATCATGACGCTGAACTCACTGTTCTGGATCGGGGCTAATCACCATCGGCCCGTCGACCTCAGACACCACCGGACTGTGCTGGAGGGAAGCAATCATCCGGTGTCTGGAGAGAGTCTACCCCCGATCCAGAACACAGCCAGACCCAGAGCCCAGCCCACCATCACCCCGCTGTGCGGACCAAGAGCCTGAGCCCACCGCTGACGGAGAGCCTGAGCCTGCCGCGACCGACGAGCCATCGCCATAGAGAGCGACAGAGCTGAGGATCGCCTCGGAGCCAGAGCATCAATCGACGTCAGACCAGGTGCGAGAGCCAGCTACAGTGCTCGCTATGGAGGAGAGCGCTATGGACAGCGAGAGCACGGAGGGAAGCTCCGCCCACTGCACCGTGGCTGAGGGTGAGCCGAGCTCAGTGGACTGTTTTTTTGGATATATATGCAGACATGCCCCCTCTTCTCCAGCCTTCGTCTGAACTCTCTGTCTGCCCTGAACTGTCTGCCTGCCTGCCCTGAAACGACCCCGGAGGTCGTCCCCCTGTCCACCACGCTCCCAGTGTTGGGAGTCGCGATGTGGTGTGTGTGAGCGGCACACACCTTCCCTGAACCCTCTACCTGTGTCTGGATTTCCCACCCACCCTCCCTCTCTTGCCTCCTATCATCCCTGCCTCAGCTCCGCCACTGCTGCATCCTGGAAACCCCTCTGCTCACCCTCAGCCCACCATCTGGGAGGTGGGATCGCAGCGGTTCTGCCAATCTCGACTTGGCTGGAGGATCCCTTGTCTCCGCCTCCAGCCTCTGAGCCCCGCACTCCGCCTCGGCCTGCGACCCAGCAGCTCCACCATGGCTCCTAGCTCCCTCCTCTCCACCGTGGCCCGTCAGTCCACCAGCTCTGCCAGGCTCCCTCATCCCTCCGGCTCCACCTTGGTCTGTCGTCAACCATCCATCGCCTCGGGACTCCACTCCTCTGACTGCACCTCATATCTTGCTCCACCGGGTTCCCTGGTCCCTCCGGCTCCACCTTGGTCTGTCGTCAACCATCTGCCGCCTCGAGACTCTACTCCTCCAGCTACACCTCATCCCTCCGGCTCTGTCAGGCTCCTCCTTCCCTCCGGCTCCACCGCGGCCTTCCGGATCCCCGCCTCGGTCGCCTGAGCCATCTGCTCCGCCTTGGCCCACCCCTCCGGATCCTCCCTGTCGCCCTGGCTCATCGGCGGAGCCTCCACCTGTCTTGTCTGCCTGCCTTTCTGCCAGCCCTTCGCCGTCCTCGGTCACCATCCCTTCTCCACTCCTTGTGTCCTCCTCCTATGTCCCCCTCTATCCCTGCCTTTGTCTCCATGGCGTGAGGTCGCGCCTTCCGGGAGGGGGGTGATCTGTCACACCCCATTGGACCTTTGTTCTGTCTGAGAGGTGCTGCCGTGAGCTATTACGGGTGTTTGTGTTAGGACGGCCGAGTCATGCTTTCACACGGCCGTCAATCAGGTTCTGCCATGTTTTTCCTCCCAGTCTCCTAGAGGATCTGAATCAGTCAGTCTTGGCCCCCGAAACGCAGTCAGGCTCCCTTTACATTGGCTTTCAGACTGTGGACTTCTAGTGAAAGATGAATGGACCGTAAAGACACCTTATTAGAGATGAATGGAAAGGATTCCCATAAGAGGTCCTATTGACGGTACAGTGTCCTCATGCAAAACTAGTACAGCATATGGGGCTTGTTGGGAAAGTTGTCACGAGGGCTTTACCTTGGTGAGGTTTTGAGTTAAAAATCCAATTACACAGCAGTAGTTCTGTAAGTTGGTTTCAAACACCTAACTTTTGTAGATTAGACTAGATTTTCTGGTATTTAAAATAACATAAAATAAGATTAAAATAACCAAGACTTTAAGGTACATATATTCCTGAACTTACTGAAAAAATGTTCACTGGAGAAAAAGTCAAGTAGAATATTATTGTCACACCCCATTGGACTTTTGTTGGTTTTCATCCCTCATGTGCTCTGTGTGACCTAGTTTCCCTCATGTTTGATTGTGTCATTTAGTTGAGGTGTGTGTCATTAATTATCTTAATTTGCTCTCGTATTTAAAAAATGTAGTCTGTCTGTCTTTGTCTGGAAATTGTTGATGCTACCCTGTGTGTTAGACCCTCTTCTTTGTGTGAATTACCATTAAAAGTATTTGTTATAATCTTCGTCGTGCCTTCGTCTCCCTAACAGCAGTATCGTGACACCATGCATGCTCTGTGCCCATTTCATTATTTTCTAATAATAATCATCATCGTCATCATGGCTATTATTATTTTTAATATAATAATAACTAATTAAAACTAATATTTAACATTACATATTAATTCATTACATTAAATCATTACATATTATTGTTCATAAAATAACATTGGTTCCCAATAAGTATGATTATGTAGTAACAAATATTTTTAACAAAATCATGAAACATGGGGAAAAAAAGGAGCTGGGAGCATAATTGAATAATATAATATTAATAATTTAATAGTAATATTCATAATACAGTATATTACTATTATTATGCTCTTTAGTTCATAATATTAGCCATAAATACCATAAACATGTATGCTCTATGCCCAATTTAGTATTTTACGATAATAATAATAATAATAATAATATTACTATTATTAATAATAATAATGGGGGCAATCGTGGCCTAATGGATAGAGAGTCGAGTCAGACTTGTAACCCGAAGGTCGCGGGTTCCAGTCTCAGGTCCGGCAGGAATTG